TCTGTAGGCACACTGGGGCTGATGATGGCTGGACCTATTGGTCGTGTTCATGGTTTCAATGTCTGCTACATCTGCTAGCAGCAAGCTGTCCGCTTTTCTCTGAAGCCTGATGAGAGAAAGGACCTCAGACTGGAGCTGCAACAAGTCATCTAGTAAGCAGTGGGGTTAAGGTTATGCTGAGCCAGAGGTTAAATCTGGCAGGAGACTTCCATGTCTGCAGAGCTCCTGGTAGAGCTGCTTTTGGGCTTCCCTGCTGAGCATCCTCTGAGCACGAGTCAGTTCCTAAGTGTGTGTGCATGTGCACAGCTGTGGATCTGGTGTGTGTCCCCCCCCATACCCCCACCAGGTTTTTGTGAATTAAAAGTTAAATCACTGTTCATCAGAGCAAAAACTTTTAAGGTGCACATGTAAATCTCGATTTTTATTCTTAGTAGGTGGCTTGCTTTCTTCCCACTGCCTCTTTTCACCAAAATGAATAAACCTTATGCAGGTGATTTTCTATTTCTGTGTGACTCTCCTTTTTCTCATCTGTGAATACTTTGGTGCACGTAAATATTGCTTTCCCACTCTTCTAACCTAGTCTTTTTTCCCCTCCTTGGAGTTAGTTTTATAGAGGAGAAAGCATAGCTGAGCGACAGCTTTGAAAACATCAAGTAAAATGAATCTAGTGTTTAACTGAGTTGAACTAAAACGTGACTCCTTGAAAGAAGTTTGTGAAGGATTTGAAAGACCTGTTGATCTGAGCAGAAGGGGCTCAAGGAGCTGTCACGGCATAAGCCAGCCTCTGGGATCACCTTCAAGTTGATATCCATCAGCATTCATAGAGCTGACTGAACCCCGTTCCTTTTAAAGACGGGGCCCTAATCCCTTGGCTAGATCAGATGGTAAAACAGATTTAAGAGGTAGATTTCCAAAGTAGTGTTTGGGGGATTTTGCTGCATCAAAGTTTTGCAGGGGAATTGAATGCTTAGTGAAAAGCCATTGCAGCTTGTATTGCACCAAGAGCTTACTTCCAGGAGACTTCTGTCCTTTCTAGCAAAAATTCTCCATTTGAGAGGTGAAGAGTGTTTTGTTTTCTCCTTTAAACCCTTTGTTGACACACGTTCTGGAGAAGGGGCTTGCTGAGAAATCAGGCAGGTGTTGCCTGATGGTAGCTGGTGTGTGTGTATTGTGATACTGAATTACCAGCCGGGGTGCCAAGAGTGGGTAATACAGTATGCACAGGCAGGTGGGGAGGGCAGAGCTGCAGGCACTGGAATATTTTGTTCTTTCCTTTTAAAACATATTATTAAGCAAAAAACTGAATTCACTGTTGTTCTTAGCAATCTCTTGAAGTCTGCTTATTTGGGCATGACATGCAGCACTTGAACCCCACAGAAAAGCCTGAGCCAAAGCTCTTTCCTCTCTGGGTTGAAGAGATAACTTGTTGCCAGGCTCCACTCTTTTGTTTTAAATAACTTTCTGGTCTGTACCTTTGGTAAAAGTGGTGTTTGCGCTCCTCAGGCTGTTGGCACAACTTTTGTTCCTCCTGCTAGGTAATGACCATTGTCAGCTTACTAAATGATAGGCTTGTTGATTGGATCAAGCTCATTTTTGCTCCCAATTAATTTAGTTTTTCTACTTAAGCAAGTAGCATAAGTGCATTGATCAATAGTCGTGATCTGGATTTCTGGGAATTGCTCATCTCGTGATCTTACCCCTCATACAGCGAATGTCTGTCAGTTCCCATAGCAAAATGGTGGGCGGGGGGACTGTCACCTCCTGCGGGGTGGGGCAATTTGGGGACCACTGCGGAGAGGCACCTGCACTGAGGGGCAAACCTTGCTTGCAGGCACTCTCTGAATGCACAGACATCTCCTTCCTCGAGGGTTTTTTTCTGAAGCTTATTTGTTTTGAAATCTATATACAATATCCTGTCTTGCTCTGTGGATGTAGCGATTATCACTGATCTAATACGAAGTTGCCACGACCTAGTTGTTCACATCTATTTATGCCAATACATGGCTGGGTGTCAGGTTACCCACGGTTGCAGCAAAGTTGGCAGGGTGCAAACTCAAGCCCCTTACTGTCTGACAGCAGGTACCCCGTGGACAGATTTACACCGGTGTTAAATGACTGATCACTCAGTGATTACACGCTCGCAGGTGGCTGTGCCTGGGATAGATGTGAAATGGTGGCTGTATGCCATGTCCCCAATCCTTGTGTAGTGTCCGTGAGGCTTGAACTCCTCTTGCAGTTGAGTGACAAAAAGGCAGCGCAGCCCTCCTGCTGTCTCATTCACCTCTGTGCTGGGTGCTGCTGCTTGCTTCCCTGTGCCCTGACCATGTCCTGAAGCAGAGTATTCTCCTGGTCACTCTTCTTTTCAGACATGCTAAGGTCAAGGTGTTGGCCAGAGCCTGAAGCTCTTGAGTCTGCCCTGTGTTTTGAGGACATATATATATATATTTCTTCACTGGACAGACTTGTTTATCGTAACTCATTAGCCCTTGACTGTTTTTTGTGAATTTAAGCTGAAGGTCCAATGTCTTCCTTGCTGGTTGTAGCCAAAGGGGTGCTGAAGGGTGGACATGGAGCAGATCACTTCGTTTGCTGGCAGAGGGGCTATGCTCTTTGATCTGGAGCCTCGGTATTCATGCTGGTGTTGAGCACCTCTCCTGTCCTTCTGAAAACAGTGAATTTTAATTTCCTCCCCTCTCCCCCCCTTCCTGTTGTAACCCCAGATTTCTGTCTTTGATGATATTATAGGTAAAATTACAGTCAACACCAACACTCCTGATCCGTGACCGAGGGGCGTGTATCTCCTTCCATTTGTTCAATTCTCCGGATGCCTGCAGACACGGGACACGTTGGCTCCTGGTGTGTGCTGTGCCCTCCCTGCACCACCGCATTTCCATATTTACACTTTCATTTCAGCCCATCACCTTTGGGTGCCCAATTTCTTTACACGTCAGTGATGTTAAGGCATCCAAGTGATTAGTTGGCTTTTTGAGATTTTTGAGGTTTCTGTCCATGAAACCTTCACAATGCTATTAGCAAACTGATGGGTTGAAGGAAACAATGCTTTCTAAATTTTCTTCCTCTTTCAGATATAAGTGATTCTTTTCCTACCTCTTGAGATGAAAAGACAACATAGTGATCTCACTCTTACCTTCAGTAAGGAATTGCTTTTTAATTAAAAAACAATAAGGAATTTCAGGTTAAAAAGATGTACGATATAAATCACCATCTAGATCTGTTTCGCAACTTTTTTTTTTGTAATTGTTTGGCATGTTCCCCATTTCCGCGGGCTGGGTAAATCCTTTGTGGGTTTAATCTCTAGCCTGCAGGCACATAAAATACATTGCACAATTTGGCCTTTGCATTTTAAAGATTTTTTTTTTTTTTTTTCCTTAGCTTAAATACCTGTAGCATCTTTTTCCTGCCATATGGAAGTGTGGCATTGAGTGGTAAGGGAAGGGACTGGCTTGGCTCATTTTTAATCCCTCTCTCCTCCCCAGTGTCTCTCCCAACTTCGGTTTTTCCTATGTTAGCAATGTGTACACTTTGAAATGCAAATAATCCCTGAATATCACTAGCTAATCCTTCTGTTGCCACGTCACCCGCCACCCACCCATGCATGCGCCAGCTCTTCCCATCCTGGCAGGGTGGATGGCCACGTCGTGCTCTCGACCTGTAGGAACCTGCCGGTGCTCTGTTTGAACTGTTGGGACCGGAGATGTGTCGGCCACGGCTGCTAGAGACGTTTTTTGAGAAAACAACCACCCTGGGGCTTTCACTTTTCTTTCTCTGCAAGAACCGAAGAAATGGAAGTGGGGAAATGCCAGCAATTCCTGTGGGCTCTGTGGCTAGAGTTACTGGGAGGACTCTACACTCACAAATGTCTGAGCACTAGAAGAAGACTGAATGCCTTTTGAGTGGGGTACTGATGAAAGCTGCTGTATTTTGAAAAAACCTTGTGCAGCAGAGAAGACTGGAGAATTTCCTTCGTGGGGGGCATCCGGAAAAATCGGTTTGGGTTGCACTGTACTGAACCACTTAAGTTCCCTTGCAACCACTCCTGCTAAGCACGTGCCCTTATTTCAGTGAGGCTTTTTGAACAGAAACAAATTACTTCAGCCTATACCTCGATGTTTTGCTGAGTAAAGGTTTCCAGATGTGAACACACTTCAGGAAAATGCTACACCAGTGTTACTGCTTTAGCGGGGAACATCTTAAAAGAGTAAATCTAATATGCTCCAAATGACCACAGTGAATAAGAGCATCTGGGTCTGCTCCAAGTGTTCATTGCATGGTCACAACCTCCCTTTTGGAGCCAGCTGCTGGGTTGTGCTCTAGGTCTAACTATGAATCTGGTCTTCGGGCTGGTTTTTTTTTAGCTCTTTCGTAGAGATAATGCCTTGGATTTAGAAGTGTGGAGAATGCTACAGAAGTGGTCAGCAGAGGTGTGAGATGCTTTTAAAAATGACTGAAATGTCAGATTTGGTACCACTTCCTAATTGGTCAGGGTCTTCCTTTCAAGTATTGTTCAATTACAAGGTTCACGTTTTTATTTCATACCTCTTCAGAAGTAGGAGTGCTTCGTACAAAATATGATGAAACACTTTACGTGTGTGGTTTACAGTGCTTCCAGGATTACAGGGTGCTGTGAAAAGAACAGTGTCCGTTTTGTTAGATGGATAATGTGTGTCCCTTGGAAGAGGGAGTGCATGACCAAGAGAAGTAAAGACTGTATTTGTTGATGTAAAAGCAGTGCTCTTTCCCAAAAGCAAAAATCTTCAGATAAACCCAAGATGTATATTTATGATCTGCTGTCCTAAAACAGGTAAAGATCTAGGGTTTTTACCACTTATCTGGAAGTGTGGCTGTTGTGTGAACAAATGCATTGCACATGCAGCAGCTGGTGCGTTCAGTTACGTGTGCAAACCCATCTCCATCCTTCTGGCATGCCTCCATCTCTAGCTGAACATCCTGACTCTCTCGTGCTCTTTTTCCCCATCCAGTATTCCACAGAACTGAAAAAGCTGTACTGCCAGATCGCCAAGACATGTCCCATCCAGATCAAAGTGATGACCCCGCCACCTCAGGGAGCCGTCATCAGGGCTATGCCAGTGTACAAGAAAGCCGAACATGTCACTGAAGTGGTCAAACGCTGCCCGAACCACGAGCTGAGCCGGGAGTTTAACGAGGGTAAGGAGCGCAGTGCTTTGCTGGTGGTCCCTCTCCAAAGCTGCTTGGCTGATGAGTGGCCAGCGTGGGGATTTGGCTGCAGCTTCACAGCAAACCTGCTGGAAGCAGACCTCCCTGCAACAGCTTGTGCAGCTCTTTATTTCCCGTGCTTGGCAGAAAGCTTCATACTATACTTTAGCTGTCCCTGTGCAAGCCCGTCCTTGAGAAGAAAGTATTGAAATAAACCTCGTGCCTGCCCAGGTTGGATGGATGTCTGTCCCCATGGCAGGCAGTGCCCTTCTGGCAGCATTTCCCCACTCCGCTTTTGCTCCTGCAATGAGAAGCAGCTGTTCTTGTGCTCAGGAATGAGCTTCCACATTGCTGGGACAGGGATCTAGTAACAGGATGCAATATCATCTCCAGTTCTTGATCCACGCCTCAAAGATGGAGGGGCTGTTTATCTCTCACAGGATAATGCTAAGTGCCAGCATCAAATGTAGGCAACCTTCCTGTACGTTTAACACTATCAGTTCAGCATTAATGTTTTAATCTTTTACTTGCTTCTCCTCGTGCTAGTGAAGTAGCAGCTGTTTTAAAAATGTCCTGGGGTTTTCTGCAAACTCATGGGCTGGGCTCCATTTTGCTTTGGCCACTTAAGTTCACATAAGTTCAGATGAGCATCTGTTTTATTCTACGTGCATTATTTATCTCCTACTGTAAAAAAACCCAGTTGGTGTCAGTTAGCAGGATGTCTTAAGAGCCTGGATCCCTTTGCTGGTTACAGTGCAGCCAGCTAGACAAGCCAAAAATAAGCGAAGACTTGGGAGTGTAAAATCAGAGTAGAATGAGACAATTCTTTGAAATAGTTTTTCATATTAGAAAGTGCTTTTCTGACAGAACTGGATTTTTTTGAGGGTTGATACCTGGTTTAATAATGGAGGTTTAAGAAAGAAAAACGAAGGCTATAAATTCTTAGTCCAAAATAACTATTTCTTCAGAAATATGCTGTATTTTGAGTGAGAAATGAACAGTTCAAACACAAAAGAAATTCTTGGGGTGAAACTTATAACAGGCTTCCCTCCTCGGAATTTAGTTTTATGTTGTAGAAACACTGAAGAAAATTTGCAGGAAGGATTTTTTTTTTTTTTTTTTTAATTATTGAAAAGGAACCTAGAAACAAAGATGATCCTATTCCCTTCTGCTGCTGCTGTAAGCAAGCATGATTTTTCAAGTTGATCATTAATTAAATGGATATTTCTTTTGTTGCTTGAATCTTTTTTAGCTCTTTAGGATCAAGACTGATGGGAGGGAATGGAAGAGGGCTAGCAATTGATGGGGAAAAGAGTAGGAATTGAGACGAAGGAATTGGCTTTTTGTATGCATAAGGGGGAGGAAAAGAAAGGCTTTCAGCTGGTGTGAAAATCTACATAGAGTTATCTGCTGGCAGAGTTGCTGTGAGCTGCCATTCAGCTGACATTTGGGCTCTCTTAGTCTGGGTTCTTGGGAAGCCAGTGCTCAAGTTTACTCATAGGCGTCCAGCGTGAGCTTGAGAAAGTCTGAGTGGCCTTTGATACCTGGCAGTGGGGATGTTGGGAAGGGCTGAAGGGATGGTTTAAGGACTGGGAGACACGTGTGTGCTCTGATAGACCTCTGGGGCCGGGTCTGGGGGTTTCCCTTGGTGAAAGAGCTTGTTACTCTGCGCATGACCTTGCTTCACTGAACGGTGCCTCTTGTTTTTTTTTCTCCTCGCCCTTGCAGGGCAGATTGCGCCTCCCAGCCACCTGATCAGGGTGGAAGGGAACAGCCACGCGCAGTATGTAGAAGACCCCATCACCGGGAGGCAGAGTGTGCTGGTTCCTTACGAGCCACCCCAGGTACGTTGTGAGCTCAGGGTGATAGCATCCCAGCACACAAAGGGGTGAGGAGTTGTGACCCTAGTTGAAGGAATCAGGATCTTGTGCTTTCCCCATCCTCATCACAACGAATCCCTTCTTACTCTTCATCAGAAATGAGCTTTTAAACACCCTCTTTATCCCTTGAGAGCAGGAGTCCTTAATTTCTTTTAAGGAAGCCTTGTGGTGGGGCCTGTTTCGTGCTAGTCTGATCGCAGCATAGCTGTGGAAGTACAAGAGGGGAGCCTGGAAAAAGCAGAGCTTTCCATCCACCATATCTTCTTCTCGCGCCTTTTATCTCATCCAGGTTGGTACGGAGTTCACGACAGTTTTGTACAACTTCATGTGTAACAGTAGCTGCGTGGGAGGGATGAACCGTCGCCCGATCCTCATCATTGTGACACTGGAAACCAGGGAGTAAGTAGCGCATCACGAGTGTAGCCCTTTGCTTGAGAGGTGACCTTCCGGCTCCTCTTCTGCTCAGGGCAGCATCGCATATCCTTAGGGACAGTTTGATGCAAGGGGCCATAGGATATTTTTCAACTTTTTGTAGTGGGGAGTTGTCTAACACCTGGGACATCCTGCCTGGGAGATGGGAAGTTTGGGTCTGTGCATAGTCTGGTGTGGAGTTGAGGGATGCTGCTGGCCCATGACTGAGCTGCCAGCTGACATTTCCTCTCATCTCTCTTCCCAGTGGGCAAGTCTTGGGCCGCCGATGTTTCGAAGCCCGCATTTGCGCTTGCCCAGGCAGAGATCGCAAAGCAGACGAGGACAGCATCCGCAAGCAGCAAGTCTCCGACAGCACAAAGAATGGTGATGGTACGAAGCGCCGTAAGTAGCTGGCAGAGCTGGGCAGATTGCAAATCGTGCTGTCACCGGGTGCAGGTGCGAGCCTGGTGCTTGTGCCGCGGGGACATAGCGGTGCTGTGCATGGGCTTGGAGGCAGGAGGGCATTAGACATCTGTTCTCCCAGGGTCAATCAGCCTGAAAAATGAGCTGGTGTTCACAAAACAGCATTTGACAGTCTAGGTTTGCGGGCTTCCTTGCAGCACTGCCTGTGTTAGATTACTTTTGCCAGCAGCGGCTGGAGGGGGTGTTTATTTGCCACCCTCAAGGTACGTGGCTGGGACTCTGTAACCACTCTTCGAAACTTTACTGCTTGTTTGGAACTGTGCTGTCACTCTCTGCTCCTTCTAGCCCTTGTCTCACGCTGTGTCACGTGTCTTCCAGCCACAGGGATCTAGATTAAGACTACATGTAAAACCTGCTGTGTATCAGAGGTGCTCTGGCAAGTGGCCTCTCCTGCATTCTCAGACATGCAAGATGTGGAAACGCAGCTTTGGTTTCACGTGTATGCTCAGTGACGGCACCAGGCTGAATGGCAAGGCAGCAGGTTTTAACAGAGGGAGATCGGAGAGGGGCTTCATTTTTGCAGTGAATTCCGCATGCTCCCTGCCTGTTGTCTTGCCTTCATGGATCACTGATCCACCAACAGCTCATAAGCACTGTAATACCGAAGCCTGCAGCCTTCTCTGCAAATAACCAGTGCTTGTTCTAGGTACAGCTTGCTGGAGTTTTGCCATATATCCAGCGTTCCTTGGCTGCTGTGTTTCCCCAAGTGGTATGGCCACCCAACATCTGCAAAATCGTGTCTGACTTACAATGCCAGGAGCTGCAAGCATAGTTCTAGAGTGGTTCAGGCAGAGACCCTTTCAGAGCACTGCAGATCTGATCTGACCATGCACTTCATGTCTCTCTTATCTTTCCTTTTTTTTTTTTTTTCCCCTGTTTCTACCCTTTCCTCCCTCTTTTCTTTTTCCTGTTTCTTCCTTTTTTTTTTTTTTTTTTTAATGGGATGCTTTTGGGGTTTCTCTTCCAGCTTTTAGACAAGGAACTCATGGCATACAGATGACATCTATCAAAAAAAGACGTTCCCCAGATGATGAGCTCTTATATTTGCCGGTGAGTTGTCTTTATCTTTGCATTTACCCTATGTCCGGTATCTTCCTCAGTGACTTGAGGCAGGTCAGCTGCTCCCCTAGACCTCAGAGAGAACTGAGGATGTGGATGAGATTTGGAATTTTTATTTATTTTTTTTTTTAATCTCCAGAGTTACCTATTTTAAATACATACTCCAAACAAAAGAGTTTGAAAAATCATGTTGCCTGCTGACTAAGAGTGGCTTGTGCAAGGCATATGAGAATATTCCAGTGAATCTGTCTGTCCTGGTTGAAACATTGTCTTGGAGATCTAAGCGGGTTTCATCCTCTGCCATTTCTGGGTCTGTGGCACTTGAGCTTTCTCTAGAGATAATGGGTGATGTCCTGCTGACAAAGGTGGTTGCTTCTGTAGCTTTTGTATGTGTTACCATTGTAATGTAGTGATAGAACTGAAATACACCCTATTAAGCATAGGATCAGAAAGGGCAAGAAGTATCTGTAATTGGCAGTTTAGCTGCTTCCCTGTGAACCACGTTTAGTTGAATAAATCACAAACCATGGTGTGCTTAGAGGAGAAGGCAGATCCAAACCCAACACCCAAATTCAAGTACTCTTTTTCCTCAAGGCATGTAAGATTCAGCACCAGATCTGCTTGCATCTGAGGCAGGTAAAGACGTTTTCTGTCTAACAGATCGGATCAGAATATTGCTTTTGCTTGGCACAGATTTTCATTGAGCCAGATGACAACTCCAAGATATCCATTAGCCTGCAGTGTCAGATTATCGCTCTTCAACATTATCTACTGTACCTCTAGCACAAGGCTTAGCGGTTTTATTGAGTATGCAGAGTGTATAAACAGTATTTGCATCCTGCTCTGACTGTTTACTTGACTATCTAAAACTCACTTAGGTGGCTGTCACTGAGGACTACAGATGCAGTCCTTTAAGGCTTTTCTTTTCCCCCCTTTCCTTTTCCCATGATCCAGGTGAGGGGACGGGAGACATATGAAATGCTACTGAAGATCAAAGAGTCCCTGGAACTAATGCAGTACCTTCCCCAGCACACAATTGAGACTTACCGGCAGCAGCAGCAGCAGCAGCACCAGCACTTGCTCCAGAAGCAGTGAGTATGAGTGGGCTTGCAGCGAGCTGTGCGGTGAGGACAGTGGGGAAGGGGGAGAGAGGAGAGAGACACAGAAGGCTTCTGCACAGTTGTTTGTAGGGGTATGGTGCTCAACCAAGGGCCAAGCAGTTTCAGAATACTGCATTGGCAAAATCATTTCCAGCAGCACAGCTGCTTGTTAGCCCTGTGGTCAGAGCTGGTAGAAATCAATGCCAGGAGTTTGGCCAAAGCCAAGTTTCTGTATAGAACTTGAGAGACTGAGTTCGAGACCCAGATTTCACAACCTGGGCAGGGGGAGAAAGCAGTTCTCCTACCCCAAGTGCACATCCTGACTGCTTGCAAGCTCCCTCTCTAGTCTCTCATCTGACACAATTCACCTTTTGGCCTCAGAGGGTGAATGAGAACAGGCTCAGTGCCTCGTTTCTGACTGCCATTGGAGCCCAAGGCGCAGTGCAGCGAGGCAGTGCCATTGAACAGCCTGCAGACAGAGAAACCTGCTGAGCGTGTGTGCCTGAGCTGGAGAGCGCAGGGTGGGTGTGCTCTGCTCTCCTCTGCTCCATGGGAACAACAGCAGACATGGAGCCATCTCCATGCCTTCTCCAGAGGATCCATCTGAGCACCTTGCCAGAGAGCATGTAGAGCTGGGCCGGTGAGCATCGGCTAGGCTGAGTGCTTGAACTCTGCTGTTGTGCATCTCTGGTGCTGCTGGAGGGCTGGTGTCTCGGTCGGATATAAATACTGTAGGTTCCTCAGCTATAAAATGAGAAACTGAAAGTCGGGGGTGAGGGTGAAACGTGTAAAAATCCCTTTGTGACCAGGGGGTGTCAAAGAAAGACTCTACATGTGCATTTTTAAAGTGTTTTTTAAAACTGTACTTTGTCACCGACTCCCCACATTGCACATGAGAAACTTTCCATCCAGGCAGCCATACTGCCTGTCTGAACTCAGCTGGCAGGGTAGTGCCAGGATTACTTTGGGTGGTGTAAGTGCCAGGAGGATGGGGAGAAGAAGGGTCAAATAAGTATCTGGTTTCCATTTTCCTCTTTGTTCCCAAAGCTTTGCAGTTACAGAGACTGGGTCAGAGAATGACTTCCCAGACAGACTAAGCGGTGTCGTTCCTGGGCATCGCTTCACCTGCTGTATCAGGTGACAGAAAATAGCCACCCAGGCTGTAGGTAGCCGCCAGCGGTAGTGCTTAGGATCTCACGCGTTCCTGCTGGTAAGCTCACGCGTCAAGAGGCTGAGGGTATAACTCATTCCTCTGCAGAGGTTAGCACAAGGCCAAGGCACCACATAAGTCCCACTTGAGCCTGTAGGGTTTTATTTCGGTGCCTTGGCCTCGTCTCAGGACTTCTGCAATACCACGGCTTTCTGCCAGGTCTCTGCATGTGTTCACATTTTGACCTGTGTGTTCTTAGTGTCAGCTGGAGTCTTGTGGAGGTGTGAAAAAAGTCTTGTGCCAAAATGGCTGGAGCATCCAGGGGCTCTGGACTTTTCTGGGGGGCACTTAAAATTCTCAATATTATTATTATTTATTTTTATCAGTCATCTGCACTGTTTGTATATACTATAGCTTGTATTTACTAGCTCCTAGGCATTGCAGCCTTTGTGCGCTCAGCTGCATGTCTTCAAAGCTCCACCTGAACTACAGCCATTTCAGTTGAGAAACGGTTTTGTAAGCAGAAACGGACGGCAGCAGATGACAGCTTTCACTTGGTGCTGACAGTTGCTTTGCCATAATTACTGTTTTCATTCTTCCTATATCAATAGGATGGGTTCCTGGCAACTGAGGTTGGTATTTGTGTTACCTTTAAGACCACCATGTATAAGTCCAGCCATTTACTTTAATGAAACTTCTTTTGGCATGCCTCCTGGCACTTGTCCAGTTATATACTCATTTTTCTCAGCTGCTGAGTGTGCTCAGATACTGGGGAGAAAGATTAAGAGCTTTTAAGGATGCCAGGAGTGGGGAGAAAAATAACTTTCGGTGTTTGTCCAGAGCTGCTGCAGTTGTCTCTGCTGACAGCCTGCCATCAAGCAGGGCCCTCTGTGCTGAAAAGCATGCTCAAGCAATAGCTTCTTAGGTGCAGTTGGGTTCTAGTGCTTTTTCCTCAATAATCCAGGGTAAAACTTAATTTCCTAAGGAATGTTCAGGGCAAAGGGACATTTAGGTTGAAAAGACTCATAGACACAAATGGACCCCAAAAAAAGAATGGTAATGGAGCTTCAGGTTTTGATGTGAGAATGGGGAGAGAAGACACTTTTTAGGAGCTGGTTTGGGTAAGAGCAGCCTTGAATGTGAGCAGGTTGCTGGGAGATGTCTTGCTACTGCTTACTTGTCAGGCTGGGGCCAAACTTAGCAGCATGGTGACTCCTTTGTGAGTGTGTTCTGGCTTTAAAAGAAAATGTCTTTTGCTTTGTAAGCAGGGACGTACTTTCAAAACTCAGTCTCAGTTTGCTTTTTTTCAAAGCGTATGCTGAAATTGGGAGCTAGGAAAGTGCATATGCAGTGGCCAAGTTTGAATGTGTAGGAAGCTGTAGGCTCTAGCAGGGTTCTGTGGGGCCAGGATGTTTGTGAGCCTCACAACTCACAGAGAGAGCTTTTGGCTCTTTATTCTCAAAATGGAGCTTCATCCACATGTGCTCCACAGTCAAGCCTTGATGGAGGAAGTGCATGATTTTTTTAGTTTACTTTTCTGAGCAATAGAAAAGCTATCTAGGTGCGTGGGAAGAAGTTTCCTTTTATTCCTACAACATGGAAAGCTTTTTCAAAGAATAGGAAAAGCAAGGATGAGATTACTATAGTAAAAGGTAGTTTTAAGAATATAAATCTGTCATTTTGGAAAACAACTGTATAATTGCTCTTGTGCACATACAGACCTGCATTGCATTTGTCAGGCCAGCAGATACAACTGTCTCACTGTTCTGGAATAAAAAGGACAAATCTGGTGACAATCAGAAAGCTTTGTGTCCCATGAGATGACCCAAATACTGCAGTGTTCCACATTGTGCCAGGCCACAGTCTTTCTCTGTCTCATCTCCTCTCTCTGTTTGCTCCTTTGTGCATGGTTTTCTCTTATTTACTGTTATGCCAAATACCTTCATGATCATAGGTGGGAAGGTCTGGGGCTTTTTTGCTGCAGTTTCTATTCCTGTTTCACTGCCAAATCCTGGGACCTGTATTTGAACAGCAGCACACGTTTATTTAGAAGACTTCCTTTACATGGTCTGCCACCATTTATCTAAAACATAGATTTGCCAGATCATCCCTGCTGCCAGAGATACCAAAGGTGACCCATGCTTTGTTGGGGAGGGAAGGTTTCTTCAGTATTCTGTTGTGAAATAAGTTTACCATCAATATTCCCAGGGAGTATCTACACAGCCTTTCAGGGTTTCACTGGAAAACACTTTTTCAGTAAGATTTCATGTGGTGGGTTTCACTCTGCTGAGCACTGTTTTCAGAACAGTCTTTATTTCAGCTGGCTTTAGCACAGAATTGTAGAATATCTCAAATTGGAAGGGATGCATAGGTATCAAGTACAACTCCTGTGATTGAAGTGTTCTCACAAAGTCTTCCAATGACTACCAAGAAGGAGGGATCTTATGTCTAAGTGGGATCTTACATCCCAGCAGATGTTTCTCTCATATCAGCAGGGCTGCAGCTACCAGCCTTTCAATCTCGTGAGCTGCACAGCTCATTATCTAAATAAGAAGGAATTAACCTCATCGGTGAGGCATGAAGGAGCTGAGCTATCCAGTGCCTGGAGTACTCCAGCTGACATGGGAACTGCAAGGATCTGGAGCTTGCTGTCATGGGGAGGGGGCTGGTGAGGAAGATATTCTTCATACCTCCACTTAGTTATTCTCATTTATGATGTGGAAACTAATGGTGGATTTTTGCATGGTTTCATTTGCTTTTGTAGTGCTGTGTTTGCATGCATTGTGAACTCCAGGCACTCGGATAGTGTTCTCACTAGAGAATTGCCAAGATGAAAGTAGGCAAGAAAAAGTGTGGGATTAGATATACAATGATGTGCTGCATGTGCTTTGCTGGTTCAGAGGGTCCAGTGCCTTCTGCATCAGCTGGCAGCCCTGGGGATCCCTCGGCTTTAATGCAGGGGGTCCCCTGGCTTTGAAAAGGGGAGTAGTTGAGTTGTAATCAATAAAGCCCTTTCACAGTAGGCACCATCCTGTCTCCCTAGTACCAGCTTCTGGTTTTTATGTAATTGAAGTGGGCTCAAAGGATGATGTTTCTCTCCTTTTCCCCTTTGGCTGAGAGCTTTTTTCCTCTTGTATTTGTCTCTAGGAACAGTACTGGGGCACCATTTGCACCCATGAGACTGGGACACAGAAATCAGATTTCCCTATCAACTAGTTGTTTTCTCTCCCTTGCCAAGCACTCGCTTGTACCTGGGCCTTTCCAGCTTTCTAAATCTCCGTCACATACCCTCACTGTAGGTGCTAAGACACCTGCTTTTCCCCTCCTTCAAAGCCCCTACTGTGATCATGAAGGTGGAAAGTGACTATTTCTTTCTTGGTGGGTGGCAAAGGGTCCTGTACATTCATCTTTTTCTTTTCTCTGGTTCCTTCTCTACAGTCTCCTTTCGGCCTGCTTCAGGAGTGAACTCATGGACTCAAGGAGAGACCCTCCCAAACAGACCGATGCCATCCTAAAACATTCCAATCCCCCCAACCCATCAGTATATCCATAAACCCAGCTGGTGGGGTCACTTTGTCCAGCTGGCAGGACTAGGAACAGTAGGGCCAACACACAGCCTGATAGCAACAGAGTAAATAGTGAGAGTAATCTTCTGAAGGGACTCAAACTTTGCAAAAACAACAGATACTTCTACAGACCTCTTTAGCTATAGCCCATAGCATTGGGAGGTCAGGAACCACAATGTCGTCTGTCTTGGTGTAACATTTTCTTCCTGTTTTTGTAACATGTTGATACTCTTTCCTCTTTACTTCTGTATTTGTGAAACTCGGCAGGGTTTCTC